ACATTACCCACACTGTCTGTGTGAATACAGTTGGTGAGGAAATTACCCACAGTGTCTGTGTGAATACAGTTGGTGAGGACATTACCTACACTGTCTGTGTGAATACAGTTGGTGAGGACATTACCCACACTGTCTGTGTTGAGACCAGAGTGACATCCAGGTGCAGAACTCCGGCCATCTTTGAGGCAGGCACAGGTGTGTGTAGCTGTCCTGGCATGCTCTCATTACTCGTGTGCAGTCAGGCTCTACCAGGTTAGGGCATTCCTCTCCCTGATTGAGGCACAGAGCAGTTGCCTTGGAATGAGGCCAGCTCCATTGTGTCCATTGGGAGGAGGCTGGGAGACTAGCTCTGAAGGTGGTTCTCATTATGAAAATGATGGTGGGTGCCCAGAACAGAGCAGTGTGACAGAACTCGAATGTCAGTCTTGCAGATGCTCCAGTCTGTGTTGTAGTACACATTGCATGGCACATTTTCATTGTATGCTGTTTTGTTTTGTTTCATTTTTCTATCTAACTTACAGTAAGAAAGCTTGTCATTAAAAAAAAAAGCTTGTCAAGAAAGCTTGATTAAAATTTGGAAAAAACAACACAGATTTGGTAATAGTGTTTAGTAATGCACTTTATAAATGCTATTTCTAAAACTTGGTCTGGTTTTCAGTTTTTTTTTTCTTTATGTGTGTGTATGTGTGTGTGTTTTAACGTAAGTTGACTTTTCAAATTTGTTTATCATCTATAAAGTGGGATGATACGGCTTTCTCACAGGTTCAGTGTAAGACGAAGATTATGTGTAGCCCACATAGTAGATATTGAGTAGTTGGTTGTTGATATTTATAACTGTAGTAGTTATTTTTTAATGTTATCAAAATACCTGGCCAGAATAAAATGGGGGAAGAAAGATTTCAGTGGGCTCCAGCATGGGGGCTGTGAGGTTGGGGTAGAGCCTGCTGCCCTACACAGGATCTTCCAGGGCCGCCTGCTTGTGGTGGTTTCCTGCCATTCCATGCTCTAAAGACGCCACCTCAGCTTTCAGACACCACAAACACTGGAGACCGATGAGAGCATGAGTCTGTGGGGCGCATTTCAGATTGAAGCCATAGTCTTCTGTTTTTACTCCTAAAGACAAATGACCAACCTACAATCGAACATGTATTCAGTCCAACTCTAAGAATCCCCAGTCTTAGCAGCCTCAATACAGTTCAAACCCCTTAAATCCCATCTGAGACAGAAGGCAGACTTGTAACTGTGGTGCCTGTAAAGTACTGTCTTCCTCCAAACAGTACAGAGTTCCAGTATCCAAGTACTCCTCTTCCTAAAGGGAGGTGAGGGGGGGATAGCAGGGAAAGTCTGGCAAGACCAGAACTTAGCAGGGAAACCTTTTGGCTCTGTGTCCCCCAGTCAGGGCTGGGGTGGCATTTTCTGAGCTCCAGCAGACTTGGGCAGCTCTTCCGGTTGCAGTCCCATTGTAGCCTTTTCCTTGATCAAGTTCCTTTCAGTGGCTACAGCTTTGTTTGACAGCTCATGCCCCGGCGTCTCCAGGACTCCAGCCTCCCTACTTTAACTGACTCAGGTTCCCTGCTTACCAGCTGCCCCTGCTGCCGGTTACCTGAGCTCAGAGGGTCTGTTAGTGGCTTTTCTTTAACCCTTGCTTCAGGCTCCCAGCGCTCTCTAACTCTTGAGTTCTGTGTGCCTGTAAAAAACCCAACACCAATGGATGGTGCCAGGCTCTGTCAGCTTGAGAGGATGCAGGTCCCCCTCTTAGCACAGCTGATAGTCTGTGCCTGCTAGGTGAACCCTACATGCCCTTTCCAAAAGGGGGCCTTAGAGGCTCAGTCTTCAGGCACTCAGATACTAATGACAGTCTCTATAGAGTTTGAGTTTGCCTTTTTCCTGGTGGAACCTTTGATGAATGGAGTCTTGTCCTCAAGGCACCTTTTCTATTGCCTCATTGATAGTTGTGAGGGTTTTTTCTTTAATGGTTTTAACCCCTTCCCCTTCCCCCTTTGGTTTGGTTTGGTTTGGGTTCTGTTGAGACAAGGTTTCTTTTTATAGTCTTGACCACCTTGGAACTCTGTAGACCAGGCTGGCCTCTGCTTCCTAAGTGCTGTACCAACACCACCACTTGGTGGTGTTAATCTCCTTCATAGCTCAGTTGGTCCCCAGTTCTAAACTGTGTCATGCTCTTTCTCTTGCCAGGCTGTGCCTTTATCACATCTTCCTGCCTTTTGCTTTGTCTTGTCTGTCTCTTGATGACTCACTATAAACCTTCTGAACATAGTGAGCAGTGGCCATGCCACAGTGTGAAGAGTACACACTCTCGAAGTTACCTGTGCCAGATAAGTTGATCTGTCGATTGGTTCATTTTTAAATCAGTCTTGGATATTCAGGACTCGAGGCAGATGTGGCAAGGTTCTTTGACAGAATGTTTCTAGTCCAGTTCCCTGCAGTCAGTGCTGCCATCTGAAGTCCCAGGAGCTCAGTCCTTACTGCCATATGTGCATTAGTCTTAGACTCCACCAGCATGGCCCTTCAGCTGCCACACTGCAGGGTTCATTCAGCCCATTCTAGAGCCCACAGCTGCTTGTTCTGCATTAATCTCTCACCACTGAGCACACGCCCAATGGGAACAAGTTAAGGGAGGGAAGGCTCATTCTGGCTCACTGTTTTATAAGTGTCAGTCTCCCGTGGCGGCTGCTGCTCACATGTGCTGGATCAGGAGCCTGGAGATGTGACCTGCTTCCTCCATCAGTCAAGCTCCGAATCCCGAAGACTCCATAGACTCCAAAATGGCTTCCAACTGGGGGCAACCCTTCAGAGCATGAACACTGGGGGTCTTTCATATTGAAACTGTAACATTAATTTGTTATGTGTACTGTGACACTCATTAGATGGTATGGTAGATATTTTAAGAAGGAGTAGTTAACTAGAACTGTCAGTACTCAGTGTCATGCCCAGCTTCCTTAACTGTATATGTTGGCCAGCTTTTTTTTCTGCATGGCAGTTATCATACTGGGAACTGAGTATAATATTTTCAGGTATGTGAATGATAAAAGACAGTTGAGTTCTCAGACCTTTCTAAGCCTCTATATAGGTAAATGGATGACTTAGCTAGAAAATGATTGAGACTTTCTGGTATAGAAGAGAAGTTAATGCAGTGTTCAGAGCATCTCCTAAAAAGCTGAAGTAAAAGTTGAGGCTTGTCAGCATGGGCATTAAGGGTGTTAAGTCTGTTCACCCTGCTGTGCTTTCGAGAAGTTTATTCTGTGCTGCAGGAGGCGGTTGTGGCTAGCCAGACTCACCGGCTGGGTCCGGCTTTGGAGGAGAAGGCTTCTGGACTTGGAGAGATAAGTTAAGAGTTTGCTCTGAAAACTGCAGTTGATGCTGTCCATCTGTTTCCTTTCTTTGTCTTTTAATCAGTGTGTTGCCTATGGTGGTGGTTCTGATAATTTTGCTTCTGAATCATGCTTTTGCGATATGACTAGGCTATCCTTTTAGTCTTTATATTTAGGTCGTTAAGAACAGGGTCCATGCTTCTGCGCTCTGTGGTGTGTCTCCTGAGGATATCCCAGATAGTTGATGCTGGCACACGAGGGGAGTAAGCATGCACGGGTGGCGCTATTTCTTCAGAGCTGTAGCTTGAGACCCGAGATTCAGTTGGCACAGCTAAGCTAGCCTCAGGGTTGCATTTGTAATGACCTTAGAAAAGACTCCTTTGCTGGGTATGGTGCCCACTGTAAAACAACACTTAACATGTGGTCATGCGGCTCTCCTGAAGTTTGATGGCAGTCTGGGCTATACGTTGAGACCCTTCAAAAGGATGTTCAGCTGGAATACAGTGATTCTTTAAGTCAGTGGTATCTGAATGACAAGTGTAGTCTGTGGATGTGGACATGGAGTTTGTGAATAAGGACACACACGGGTGTAGTCTGTGAACAGGGACATAGAGTGAAGAAGGGGACATGGGTAGTTTGTGAGAGCTGAGGAACACTAGTAAAGAACTAGTAAGCCTTTTAAAATTCATGTTTATTTTTTCTCTCTTTGTCTCTTTTACACACACACACACACATCCATATATATAATTTATAAGCCAGATATATCTATATACATGTAAAATATAAAGGCGTATGAACATTTTTTTAGGTAAGAATGTACAATAAAAAGTGTTTT